TGAAAACACCTTTCCTCATCACGAGTCGTAGGATCAAGAACCAGATGTAACTTCTGGTCAAGTAAAAAAAACAACAGGAAGTAGTTGGACAGCATGATTAGTTTTGCATGAACAACTCATGTGCAATTACAGTTGCATTTTTCTCTAATGGAAACATTGCAATAGAAAATTTGACTTCTCTCTACCTTGTCTGAACATTAACAATGTTAGGGTAACATTTGTAATCAAAACGCAGCTACTGGTCTGATCAACCACTGTGATGAATCTGCATCAGAGACGAAGGCAGACTTCCAGATTATATTGACCATAAACTCTTTAGAAAGACTTAAATAATATTGTTTTACTGAATCTGCACTCAAAGTTAATGGTAACTATTAATGTGACAGCAACATATTCATTTACTGTTAGGACTCTCACTTAGAGACTAAAATTGTCAAATATGGTGTGCCTCAAGGCAGTTTCCTTGGTTCACTTTTGTATACAATATTTACTGATTATTTAGCATCAGCAGTAAACATGGATCGGATCCTAATGGAGTCAATGCAACATTACATTGGGGGTAAAAGCAATTATTAAAGTAACAACTAATAAGAATTGTGAGGTGGGTTAAAATTAATAAACCAGTTTTTGATTTTGTTTGGTATGGAAGAGGATTAAGGCCACTGGAAAAAAAAAAGTTTACTGATTTTAAAATTTTATTTCAGTTTAGTATGGGAAAAAAGTCAGAATTCTGACTTTAATCACAGAATTCTGACTTTAATCTTTAAAGTCACCAATACCAAAGTCAGAATTCTGAGAAAAAAAGTTAGAATTCTGAGAAAAAAAAACCAGAATTCTGACTTTTGTCCCATACTAAACTGAAATAAAATGTAAAAATCAGTTAACTTTTTTTCTTTTTCCAGTGGCCCTAATCCTCTTCTGCAGTTTTGGGTTCTTCTTGGTAATAAACTATCTTTGGATGAGCAAATAAATGGGCAACAATGTTACAGCCTTGGAATGTGTTCAAAATATGTACATAAGAACATAATGTGTTGTTATTTTCATTTCCAAGTTCAAGGAGTGGGATGAAGAATGAACTAACAATGACCTGCCAATATACTATTCATGAAGTTCATTTTCTTTTTTCCAGTTTTCTGATAAAAAGAAAAAGAAAAAAAGAATTAAAAAAGAAGAAACAGATATTTTTTTGTAGAAATTACACCAATACCAACACTATGGAAATAATAGAAGCAAATATAGTCACACCGATAATAATGATGATAATTAATATTAATAATGATGATAATGATCATTTTAGTCTAATATCAATTTATAACCATCTTTTTATACAAGGATTTTAAATGGTTCATTGTTCTCCAAACTTGCCAAATAAGGTGATCCTGTTTACGGTCGTGTAATTAAAGTTAAAATGAAACCTGTGGTTGAACAACGTAGGAAAGAAATAGTGACAGGACTGTTTGATAAATTAATCATTTTGTAGACTTTTAAATGGTAATTGTAGGCCACACAGACTGGCAGCACCAGTTTGACCTCCAACCTAGTTTGCTTTATGCAAGAGTTTTATATCTCCATCATGGTTGCAGTCATAAAGAACATGATGTCATGTGACAGGAGATGACAGACATGCAGATATATTCTGAAACATCTTTATGCTTATGGCCACATATGATATCAGGTTACAGGGTGTCAGACGTAGAGATTGTTAGATATCACATATCATTCTATGTAATGGTGTAACAAAAAGTAAATAACACAGAATTTTGCACGATCACAATACAGTACGTGTGTGTATATATATACATATATGTATATATGTATATATATATATATATACATATATGTATATATATATATATACATATATATATATATTTCTGCAATTATAAATTTTACATAATCCTGTGTTCAGCCATATGGATAACCAACTCTGCCATATTTAAAAAAAAAAAAAAGATCAATAAATAAATAAGCATACAATTTATTGCCACCAAAAATACAATAAACAAATAAATGTAAGTAGAAATTAAATTATACAGTGAGACATAAATGTATATATGGCAGAGTTGGTCCTCCATGCATTCACAGATTTAATGCGTAATTTAAAAGAAAACGTTCCGAAGTTTAGAGGACCACGGCAACCAGCGGAGCTCTGAAGCTAACGGTAGCCCGTCTGTAGCGGCCCTCTCTCGGCACAGCCGTGTGTGAAGGACCGCTGGCTATGATGGAGATTTTTTATTGTATTTGGCAAAGTTTGTCCTTGCCAAGAACATACTTGGCGAGTCCCTACTCGCCTTCAAATGACTTCAGACTCGACTTCAGACTCTCCTCTCCTCCTGTAGATTCGACCGATGCAATAAAATGCTAACCAACCAATGAGCAGATATTGACTCTCTAGGACACACCCCCTCCTCGTTTGCATAATGAGGCAGAAATGCAGACAGAAATGTAAAAAGGGCAGACAGAAATAAATAGCAGCGAAGAAATAGCTAGGGTAAAAAAATACAAAGGAAATATAATAGACAAAAATATTATAACATGCATATAAATACTTAAAAATATAAGTAATTAAAAAATAAAGTTAAAGATTATAAAGGACAATAAAATAAATAAGGTAAATATTACAAAAGCAAATAAATAAAGAAGCTAATTAAAAAAGTAATATACATTTATGTCTCAATGTATGATTTAATTTCTACTTACATTTATTTGTTTATTGTATTTTTGGTGGCAATTAATTGTGTGCTTATTTATTTATTGAGCATTTATTTATTTATGTATTTATTTTTAAATATGGCAGAGTTGGTCCTCCATACTGCCAGAGGTAGCTATTATGAAGTGTAAAAAACAGAGAAAAAGAACTTAATCAATAAATAATGCAAACTTGGTGAATAGAAGTATGATGAAGAAAAACAGTACCTATGTCCTCCAGCAGTCTGGGCCTATAGCAGCATAACTATAGCTCAGGATAACCACTCACACTCTTACTATAGGCTTTTTCAAAATGGAACGTTTTGAGCCAAGCCTTAAAAGTAGACAAAAGCTAAACTAGACTAAAACTGGTTGTTGGTCCAATAGGAGAGGAGCCTGATAACAGAAAGATCTGCCTCCAGTTCTACTTTTAGAAGTTCTAGGATTGAAAGCAAATTCGTCTGTTAGAAACATAAGGAACAAATTGATCTTTAATGTAGAAAGAAAACTTGGTTATTTAGTTCTTTTTGTGTAAGAAAGAATAGTTTCAATTCTATTATGGATTAAACAGGTCAAGTCAATTAAGAGAAGCTGAGATAGGAGAGATTCAATCTGTTTTTAATTTGATTCAGAACTCTGGCTGCAGTTTCCTGAGTTAAGGAAAAGAGTAATTATATTTGCTCTGTATGGTAGGGTGACCATATTTTCATTTTGAAAAACCAGGACACCTTGGAGCGGGGGGTCGGCGGCGGGGGATCTCTGTTCCCATGCATAGGCCTAGGTAATCCTACAATAACATGATAATAACAGTTGGTTTATTAAAAATGCTTTTCAATAAAAGTCAACAGCAATAACTCCAATAACAAATGATAATTTTATTCAAAATGCATTTATTAAAAATGCTTAACAATTCCTGTAATGAATGATTAGCACAATGAAAGAAATAATGTCTCATCTAAACATCCCTTACTTAACAATAAAAGTTAACAATAACTCTCAACTCCCAATAACAGATGATACTCAGCCTCAGCAATGAACGAAATAATGTCTGTTCTGTAGGTTATTGGAAAAAATAAACAAATGAGCCAATTAACAAAAAATACCTCTTTTGTAGCAAAAATAACTCAAGATGTACCAAAAACGAACAAACATATCAATAGAATATCTTGACTTTCGGTGTCCAGGTGGCTTTTCAGATCCCTTGCACCTCCATTGGACACCGAGACATATGTGCCTGCTTTGCACACTGTGCACAAGGCCTCCCATTTGTCTCGACCCGGTCTGAAAACAGGGAAACTCTTTTGCAAATCGTTGGTAAACATACATTTGTGCCTTTGCATGTTGTTGGCGTACTGACAGCCACGCTATCTATATTCTGATTAAGAACAGGGCTGCCCGCACTGGCGCGGCTCAGGGATTACATCACACGCAGCGTTGTGCGCAGTGCCCTAGCGCCTGTACATTTAATGGTCCAATGAAGGTAATTTAAAAAAACAGGACATTTCCTCACTTTCTAAAAAAAACCCGGGACACCCAGGACAGGACGTGAAATATGAACATGTCCTGGGAAATACGGACGTTTGGTCACCCTACTGTATGGCCATCCAACTGCTGGGTCTGGGTTTGACAGCTGAACGACTGGTGCAGATCGGATGTAGCTGTTTTTTATTCACTTGGTTTTGCATTCTTAGTTCCAGTAAAAAAAAAAATAATTAAATCAACCAGATAGAAAATTAAGAATGAATCTTAGCAGATATGCTAAACTACGGGTACTCCTTTCTGGCCAGCAAATGTTTCTGATCTTATTAATGTGTTTCTAAATGAATGATAAAAAGTGCCATCAAAACAGTTGCATGTTTTTTTTTATAAAGCTTTACCAGAGGAGATCAATTCTCTCTAAATGTAAGAAACCAAAAACTTAAGATTAAGTAAAATTGACTCCAGGAAAAGCAACAATATTGTACTGGCTAATTGGCTTGGAAACAGTTCTTGGAAAAAGTCTGAGTGAATCAGTCTGAAGAAAGCAAATTATTATCAAAACCAGACTGATCAGTGACAGTCACGATGCTTACAAAAGGGTCAATGGTTTTAAAATATATTAGTAGGTGTGGTACTGATAAATGCTGTACATAATTCCCAGTTAGTGAGCCATACACCTGCTGGCGCCGGTAGAGGAAGAATGCATCTGATTAAATCAGTCTGCAATGTAACGCAGTTCATCTGACATTCTTTAGCTTCAATAAGCTGATAAATCAGAGATGCTATCAGATAAAGGAAGGCAGCAACGTGTCTATAAAGCTCAGGTGGCAGAATGTGTTCACTCTGGATTGCAGAGCTTACTGATCCTTAGAGAGCTGCTGCAGCAGAAAAACAACATGATCTCCGCATGTTATAGCAGCAATGGTGAGCCATATAATGGATAAGTTCAGTTTTTATTTTATACAAGTGAATGAGATTCAAACGAGATGTAAAATGCTTTGCTTGTTTTACAGTGAATCTTAGTTTAATCTGTCAGTACGTCAAATTTATTTGTATTACGATTATATTGAACAACGAATTACTGAAGCTGAACCATGTCTAACGTAATTTAATTATAAACAGCTATATATAAAAATTAAATTGCATTTTAAAGCCCTTCAAATACAATGACTTAGATGAATTGCTAAATATTTTCCAAACGAACTTTTTTCATCCTAAAGATGCAGATCTATATTATGCTGAACCTCTTTTGTTAAGCTTTGATTTACAAATAAGAAATATTTTTGAAACTATTTTCACAAAATCCTGGGTCTAGTTAGTTATCTAAATTTTAAGAAAAGATGAGTTTAGATTTGATATTTTTTTCATATCATGAACTGCACAGTGAAAAAAAATTATAACTGGTACCCAACATTTAGAGAGTTTCTTTGATAAGTATTTTTTGATATGTTGCTTTGCCCTTTTCTTAAATTTAAGCTGTTGTATTCTAACCTTTCCAGATAATAACTATAGCATGAAAACAATTAGAAGTTTTAATTTACATAAAAATAAAAAAATTTCTGTGTTAAAATGGAAGATCTTTTCATTTCTCAACTGGTTGTCCAAACAGTTTCTATGTCCCTTAACCTTTATCAGAAGCTCAGAACTTAAATTGTATAAGTTAAAGTTTATTTAAAATGTGTATAAAGTTGCATAAAGGCTTAGACTGAATTTTCAGAGTGATTAAAGTTAGTAGACATTGACTGCTGAACGGAACAATGCTAAGAATTCTGAGCCTTTAAACTAAAGAAGTTTAGCTGTACGGTAATGTTATAAAAATGCAATTTATTAGAGTTTTTTTTTCTTAATTTGAGTCAAAATGTTACAATGATACCTTAGGGCAAAGACTACTAAAGTCCCTCATAAGTAATCTAATCTCATTATGTTTATATAACTCTAATTCCTCACTGGTGTTCTCCAGAAATCAGGAAAGTGGACCTCCACTGCCAGACCAACAATGCCGCCCATAAGACCAATGAAATCAGTACAAAGCAGCTGATTGTGAGACGAGGACAGCCGTTTCTCATGACACTTGAGATGGCCTACGCTTTAAAGCCATCAGAAAAGGTTCAACTCACAGTGGAAACAGGTGGAGCACTTTTAATCTGGGTGTCAAACAGTGCAAAATATAATTTTAAAGCAGTGTGGATCCAGTGACACAAGTATTAACACCACTTCTTTCCTAAGGTCGTTTTGCATCAGAAAGCCAAGGGACCAAGTGTACGTTTAGTAACCAGGCTCCCATGTGTGTTGCTGGCAGTAAAGCAGTGTGGAGCTGCAAAGTGGATGACAGGTCCAACCTGCAGAGGGGCATACTGAGCCTTTTGGTAACCCCACCCGTTGATGCTCCAGTGGGGAAGTATTCCTTGCTGGCAGAAATAGAGAATAGGAAAGCCGTAAAGGAAAGCCTGGTGGTGCTGTTCAACCCTTGGTGCCGGGGTGAGTGACAAGCATACCTTTAAAGAGGTGTAACACTTTACCTTAGAATGATTTGTGGGAGGAGATAGCCCAACAGTATTCAAAGGTTATATCATCATAAAGTCTGTTTATTGATTGATTTATAGAGTGTATCTTCATTGCAGATGATTGGGTGCACCTGCCTGATGAAAAGGAACGGCAGGAATATGTGATGAATGAACAAGGACTCATCTACAAGGGGACGGCACACCAAATCCATCCAATGATCTGGGAGTTTGGACAAGTGAGGTTTAAACATGAATAAATGAATGAATGAATGAATGAATGAATGAATGAATGAATGAATGAATGAATCCACCCATCCATCTATGCCACCATCCATTCATCCAATATCCATCCATCCATCCAACATCCATCTATCCAACATCCATCCATCCATCCATCCATCCATCCATCCAACATCCATCCATCCATCCATCCATCCATCCATCCATCCATCCATCCAACATCCATCTATCCAACATCCATCCATCCATCCATCCAACATCCATCTATCCAACATCCATCCATCCATCCATCCATCCATCCATCCAACATCCATCTATCCATCCATCCATCCAACATCCATCTATCCAACATCCATCCATCCATCCATCCATCCATCCATCCATCTATCCTTAATCCATCCATCCATCCATCCATCCAACATCCATCTATCCAACATCCATCCATCCATCCATCCATCCATCCATCCATCCATCCATCCATCCATCCATCCATCCATCCAATCTTAATCCATCCATCCATCCATCCTTAATCCATCCATCCATCCAATCTTAATCCATCCATCCATCCATCCATCCTTAATCCATCCATCCATCCAATCTTAATCCATCCATCCATCCATCCATCCATCCATCCATCCATCCAATCTTAATCCATCCATCCATCCATCCATCCATCCATCCAATCTTAATCCATCCATCCATCCAATCTATCATCCATCCATCCATCCATCCATCCATCCAACATCCATCCATCCATCCATCCATCCATCTATCCAACATCCATCCATTCAACATCCATCCATCCATCCAACATCCATCTATCCAACATCCAACATCCATCCATCCAATCTATCATCCATCCATCCATCCATCCATCCAACATCCATCCATCCATCCATCCATCCATCCATCCATCCATCCAACATCCATCCATCCATCCATCCATCCATCCATCCAATCTTAATCCATCCATCCATCCAATCTATCATCCATCCATCCATCCATCCATCCAACATCCATCCATCCATCCATCCATCCATCCATCCATCCATCTAACATCCATCCATCCATCCATCCATCCATCCATCCAATCTTAATCCATCCATCCATCCAATCTATCATCCATCCATCCATCCATCCATCCATCCATCCATCCAACATCCATCCATCCATCCATCCATCCATCCATCCATCCATCCATCCATCCATCCATCCATCCATCCATCCATCCATCCATCCATCCATCCATCCATCCATCTATCCATCCATCCATCTTTGGGGATCCATCCATCACCACTCTGGGGTAAGGAGCCTGAACCAGTGCAGGAGGTGGAGCAGTAATGGCTAGAAAATAGTTAGTCTCACCTCCTTGCATAGCCTGCGCTCTGTAGCCCAGCTCCTTGAGAAAGGTTGTTGTCTCTTCCATTCCCTTGCCAGCTGGCTCTGTGTAAAAACTTGTATGTCAATCCATCCATTTTAGGATTTACTCTGAGATTAAAGTAGGTTCTGGATTATTCTATGACTAAGATGTGGTTGAAAACTCAGAAGCAGTCAGTCAACCACAGAGCAAGGACTCCCACAGCTTTGAACATACTGAATTTCTTGCAGTTTGAGGAAGAAATGGTGGATATTTGCTTTGAATTGCTTGATGCCAACCGAAAACACCTGAAAGACCCAGCTGGAGACGTTGCAGCTCGCTGCAACCCCATCTACGTTAGCCGTGTAATCAGTGCCATGGTGAGACTGAACATTCACATAGATCTGCATTAAATGTAACACCTTTGTGGGATTAACATTTCGTCATTTTACAGATCAACAGTAATGACGATTTGGGTGTTTTAGCTGGATGCTGGGATAACAAATATCCGGGTGGTGTTTCTCCCCTGAGATGGACCAGCAGTGTCAACATCTTACAGCAATGGCATCGAAACAACTTAAAGGCAGTAAAGTACGGACAATGCTGGGTGTTTGCCGGTGTGATGTGCACAGGTATCGTCATGGATTCTTTAGTGTACATATTGTAAACCATCAAAGACTCACCGAGATACATGCTTTTCGTCATTGTGATTGCAGTGATGCGGTTCTTCGGTATACCTTGCCGTGTCGTCACAAATTTCGTGTCTGCTCATGATAAAAACAACAGCCTCACGATTGATGAGTATTTTGATGACTACGGACTAAAAGCCAAGCAAGATTCTGACAAAATATGGTAAGAACAATGCTGGGATTTCCAAAGTAAGTTTTGAGTTTATACTCGGAAAAAAGAAAAGATAAAAAATTCTGCGTCTACAAAAGTTTAAAAATATGGAAAAAACTAAGGTTTGCTCAGAATTTTAAATATCTTCTTTTCTTTATTCTGTCAGACATCTAGCAATCAGATCAACAACTGAGAAATAATTAACAGTTTAGAAATGTCTAATTGCCGTGTAGGAACTTCCATGTGTGGGTCGAGGGTTGGATGAAGAGGCCTGACCTCAACCAGGCAGGTAGTTTCGATGGTTGGCAGGTCTTGGATCCCACTCCTCAGGAAAAGAGTGGAGGTAAACAGTTGTTGTTCTTCTGCTCTAACGTTGTTTAACTGGAAGTGCCAAAGTTTGACCTCTTCTTTCAGGAGTGTTCTGCTGCGGTCCAGCACCTGTGGCTGCTATCCACCAGGGCAAAATGGACCTGAAGTATGACGTACCCTTTGTCTTCAGTGAGGTCAATGCTGATGTGGTGAAGTGGATGGTCAGCACAACTTTTTTTCTAATATAGAACAAAAATGTAACTATAAAAAGCAACACATAATCATCCAATCATGGGAAATGTTGAGGGTTTTTGTCATGACTGGTTTAAGTTAAATGTCTTCCTTAATGGCAGACATGATTTAATTCAGGAAATAAACATGGCAGGTTTGTTATCAAACGGAGATAACAGGATTTTTGTTTCCTTTAAATTCTTAAAGGAGAAGTTCGGTTTTTTACACTTTAAGCCCATTTTCTGTAGTGTCCAGGATGAAATTGAATGAAGGACACCAAAATTTTGACAATTGGTCCTGTCTCTGCTTTTTGGCTCATTTAGAATCAACCCCTGGCTGCTTTAGAATGGCTAGCATAGAGCATGTCCGATAATGTCCTTAAAACAACCTTAAACGTTCTTTTTTTCAAATATGCTACTCACCGGGTCGTCAGCGCTGTTCAATGACGTTCCAAAAAAAGTTTCGTGAAGAAAAAACGTTCCTGTAGTGTTTTATTTAGCATTTTGTAAATCCCATTGAGTTCTGTAGGAATAGTCAATATCCCTCCGCCACCGGAAACGGAAATGGGGCCTGTTTACACAGTTGTAGTCTTTTCGCTTCACTCTGTGTACTCCGACGTCGAGGTGCTAACGTCTCTGTTAAACACTTTAAAAAACTCTGAAAATGGAATACGAAAGGTGGATTCTTGATTCTCGACGTCGGAGTACACAGAGTGAAGCGAAAAGACTACAACTGTGTAAACAGGCCCCATTTCCGTTTCCGGTGGCAGGGGAATATTGACTATTCCAACAGAACTCAATGGGATTTACAAAATGCTAAATAAAACACTACAGGAACGGTTTTTCTTCACGAAACTTTTTTTGGAACGTCATTGAACAGCGCTGACGACACGGTGAGTAGCATATTTTAAAAAAAGAACGTTTAAGGTTGTTTTAAGGACATTATCTGACATGCACAATGGAAGCCATTCTAAAGCAGCCAGGGGTTGATTCTAAATGAGCCAAAAAGCAGAGACAGGACCAATTGTCAAAATTTTGGTGTCGTTCATTCGATTTCATCCTGGACACTACAGAAAATGGGCTTAAAGTGTAAAAAACCGAACTTCTCCTTTAAGCATTGTCAAAATACACTGAAAGCTATCCAAAAAATATTCAAATGTCCTTATCGATTCACTATTGGAAATAGTTTAAATGCAATGTCTTTGTAAATCTAGGTTTTGCATCTGGTGTAAAGATGTGAGAGCTGCACCATCACTAACATATCCCATGTTTTGCAGGTCAATAGTGATGGCTCAAAGACAAAGTTGAAATCCCTCACTGACACTGCAGGCGTGGGCCAGAAAATCTCCACTAAAGCTGTTGGCTGCTTCACAAGGAGTGATATAACTAACACCTACAAATACAAAGAAGGTAAAAACACAAATCTGAGATCTTTTACCGAAAGCATTAGGTATTTGATCTATTTTAGGTACTTCATTTCCATGCGCGAATAAAATAAAATGACGAGTCATTTTAGTCCTGGTGTGTTCCTTTGAATCAGTAAGATCTTTCGATGGTAACCAATCATCTGTCAGGATTTGTATGGAGGTTGGTTGAGGACACAAATGCAGAGACCAGGAGGCAGAGGTGAATCTTGTAGATTTAATGAATAAAACAAAGGCATACCACCAAAAATCCAGAAAGCATCAGGGAAAACTAGAGTGGGAAGCCAGAGATGAGAGCAAAAGAAAAAAACAACAAGGAACCAGCACTGAATGACTGCAGATAAGTCTGTATATAAGGGGAACAAAACAAAGGATGGGCTAATGAGCTGAATAAGGAGCAGGTGAGAGTGGAACTAACTAGAAGGAAGCCAATGGGAAAGGAAACAAGCACAAGGGGGCAACAGAGAGTAACTAAAGACTGCTTGAATATCATGGGAAATAAACCAAAGATCAAAACAGAATAACTAAAAACTGAAAACGAAACACTTAGAGTCCCAAAAGGGGAAAACCATGACGTCATCATTTAAAAATCTGTTGCCTCACAGAGACCGTTTTTATAAGAGGCTTCCAAAATAACGCAACAAAGCAACTTTTGGTTCTCTTAATTCTGCTGACAGAAACAGCTCCTAAAAGCAGCAACATTTGTCATGTTTAACACACAGGTTACAAATACTGTAGCAGTGACAGATGCAGGAGTTTGCCCTGCAACCCCAGGGTTGTTTGTTCAAGCCCTAACTCCAGCTTTCAATGCCGTTGTGTCCTAACCTGACTCCGCCAGATGGAAATGCGGAGCAAATCCATCTGGAAACCTTCCGTAGAAGTAATTTTGGGAAGGGGCGAAAATACTGGTTAGCTGATTGGCCTATGTTGGTGATAGACGGGCCAAATAAACCAATCAGATCAACAAAGCATATGAAGTAACAGAGCGACGACGAAGAGGAGCCAATTGATAGATCAAACTCTTGCCGAAACCAGTCGGGAGAAGAGCAAAAACATCTTTTCCTCTGAGAAAAGCCTCCAGAGCAGTGTTTTGCTCTTCTTTCAGTGAAGAAATACTCTGTAATTCCGATAAAACTTGCTCGATAGCCACGCTAAGGCTAGTTTCATCGGCTGAAGCCGCCATGTTCTTTAGACTGAACTGTTGCGCTTCTTCGTTGCGTCACACCTCAACCCGCCTCAAAGCCAACGCTGATTGGACCTTCGTTTGGTGAACGGCTCCAAATTTTCTTTAACGGCGAGTCTCCAGACTGATTAGCGAGTGAAACCTTGAAAGCTTGCAAGATCAGGATGGTCTCACGAGGCTAGTTGTGTCCTTAGGCAAGACATTTCCCCTACTGTCATACATCAGTAAGTTGCCCTCTGACCACCTACTGATGGTGGTCAGAGGGCAACTTCCTCAGGGCAGCTGTGGCCATAATGTAGCTTACCACCATCAGTGTATAAGAGTGTGTGAATGAAGGGTAAAGGGATATGGTCAAGTCTCCTGATTTAAAAAAACCCACTTTATAACAAATTTTTAGACCTTATTCATCCACTCAATTCTTTTGGCGCCCATTTGAAATAGGGTGTAAAAGATCTGCCCCGTCATACTTAAACAACCCATCACATTCTGCCGATACAGCAACATAAGGTGATCATATTTATTCTTCTTTCCATTGAAAACACCTGGTGAAAGGTTAATGTCTAAGATTTTAAGGAGATATTAGTTAATACTCTAAATGCTCTCAAGCTACAATAGTTGGCAGTGTAGAAGGGAGACACTCCTGATGCTGTTTGGGACTGTTCTCTACTATATTGACCTTTACCCCATGGATGACGGAGGACAAACAAAAAACCTTCCCGAAAACAATATTCCAACGTCAAACTTTACTGTCCAAAAACCTAAATTCAAAAAGATATTTCGACTACACCGCAAGATATGGCAACTTATAAATGCACACACTTAATAGATTTTAATTTTGGGTCTAATAATAAAACAAACATTTTTATCCTCTATTTATCAATTTATTTACTGGTATCTGTGTTTCTATGTGTGGAAAAACTAAAGTGAAATGTCTATTAACCCCTCTGAAACATTTGCCCTAACAGCCGTTACAGTAGGCCCAACTTCCCTAAAGAAAATTACCAAATGTTCTTCTTCTGGTGTAATATTTTTTTTTTTATTTACTTCTTATTTCCTCTTCCTCTATTCTTCCTCCGCCTCTGTCACTGCTGCTTGACTAAATCCTCATTTAAGCTAACATCATTATAAGCTTGGCTATTTTCTTAACCAGTAAGCGGTTAAAACGTCCATTTTCATGCTACAAAATCGTGTTTATTGGACAATTAGTGTGATTAATGACTCACTGATTTTAACGTATTGATGCTGTTTCATCCAGCGGTGGATTGCTCACTGAAACCTGGCTCAGGGTAGCCTTGTTTATTGGAAGGAATCTAAAGTAGTCAAAATGATCTTTTAATAATAAAGAGACATATTTTACACTCACTTTACCTTGATTTTAGATTACTTGAGTTTGTAGTCAGGTAACGAGATAAATTCATCTAAAAAAGAATGGTGTTTATAATGAGGTTTTGGGGCTGCATCTTAATGGAAGGGCAGACACATCCCCTTTGAGCCCTTCCAGGATTTACTCCTATGGATGATGAATTGCTGAGAAGTTAATGACTTAGTGAAATAAACACACTGCTTTCAGTCATTCTCATCCAGAGGAATTAGATTCAGGGGAAGTGAATGCTCTGTTGGGTTTCTGAGTAATAAATCTTGTAAAATAGCTAAAATCTAAGGTGGAATTTATGAAACTGAGTTTAAATCTGAGCTTAATTGAAATTAATAGATTTTATGCATGTATCTAATGTTTTCCGTATTCTTCCTTGGGAGATCACAAATCTATAAATAGAATTGACTTGACATTTTATGTCCAGACTAACAGCTCTATCTTAGTAGGGTTACAAGGTCTTGGTGGTAATTTTAGTATTTTACTGACCCTAAAATGTTTGGGATTTATTTAACTCAAAGGGATTCAGTTGACTCTGGGTTTCTTTTCCCCAACAGGCAGTACAATGGAGAGAGTGGTCTACGATCATGCCAAAAGAGAGATGAACTTAAAACCCGACAGCAATGTGCAGCAAAACAGCTGCAAAGTCATTGATTCAAAAGTGGAAATGACCTTACAAGAGGTTGGTTTTACGTGAAAGTGAAAATGAGTTGAAGCTGAACTTAAATCAACAAAACACCAATCACTGATTGTTTTTTTTTTGTTCTTATCAACAGGAAACCAGTTACATAACTGGACAGGATATCAAACTGAATCTGGTTCTGAGCAACAGAGATAACAGGAATAAGACGATGGTGATCAATGTTAACGCTCAAGCCATGAGCTACTTTGGAAATCCTTTAAAGAACGTCCTCCATGCTCGGCACGATAAAACACTGCTGCCTGGACAAGGTCTGTTCACTAAAAAACCTACTATTACCTTAAGACATTACAGGTCTTTTAAGTCAAACATCACTGCCAACGACTGCTGTCAATAGAAAAAAGATCTATTCTTAACCTAAAACTTCTCTTCTGTTTCCCCTTTTCTTTCCTTCAGTCGTGAACTTCCCCATCCTGATTCCGTACTCCGCCTACAGTGCGTACTCTGCCATCCTTGACAGCGTGAAGGTGTCTGTCCTGGCCAGAGACAACAATGGGGACATCTATGAGGCAGAGACTGACCTCGCTCTGGAAGACCCACCCCTCTCTATTAAGGTCTGCAACACACTTATCAGGAGTCAACAGGTTCTCAGGAACTCTGGAGGGGGTAAAAATCTGTTCCCCTTTACCAGCAGAACTGCAGCCATGCAGCTTCTTGTTTAGTCCTCCTCTCAATAGATTAGTCTCCCTAGGAGAAAATGCCTTTAACAAGAATTTGACCTCCCAGAGAACACCTCTTCTTTCTCATGTATCCCTTTCTGTTATAAGGTGGTTGCATCAAGTCATAAATTAAAGTTCAGAGGTTATATTTTGTGTTTGGATTTAATAATCCAACCATTATTTTGCATGTGAAGCTGTCATGGTCTTGGTTCTGCTGTTCTTTACTTTGCTCCTTGTTTTCTAGATTTATTGGTTTAATTCCTATTTTGTTGTCATTTCTAGATTTATGTTAGTTCGCATGTTTTTCTGTTGCCCTCTTGTGTGTGTGTTCCTTTCTCCTTGGCTCCCTTGTTGTCTCCTCTCACACCTGCTCCTTGTCAGCTCGTTAGCCCTCCCTTTGTCTCAGTCAGCTATATGCTCTCCCTCTGCTCTCATTCTTTGTTGGTTCCTTGTCTTTGCTGTCCTCCCATGCTGTGGTCTACGTTCCTCGTCTCTCCCTGGCTCCTCGTGTTTGGTTTTCCCTTGATGTCTCCATGGTTCTGGTCTGTGTTTCATCATTACCTTAGTTGTATTTTTGGTTTCCTGCCTTTGTTAAACAGTTTCCTTTAATTAAATCCACAAGAAATCTCCTCCGCCTCTCTGCCTCTGCATTTGGGTCCTCCAAACCACAACCAAACCCTGACAGAAGCATAATCTTTATAACACATTTTTATTGACTTCCTTCATTCACTAATTGGGCCAACTGGTACCAGCAGACCCACAGCGAAGGACACGCTCACATGCCATTGTGAGGATTAGGGCCACTGAAAAAAAAAAAAAAAAAAAGGTTAAAGCTGAAGTCTGTAAGTTTTTAAAAATCACTTTTTTGTCATATTGGCTAAAACTGTCCCTATGCCCAGACAGCAGTACATGTGATATGTAACCTGTGAAAGAAACTGCTTCAATTGGTCCCGCCTACTGCCTGTATTTCAATCTGGAAAGAATAATTCGGGACGAGTCAAAACAACCAATCACAGCCAGAGGAGCGTCTGATGGAGTGTCAATCACAGCTCCCCCCCCTCACCGCTTAACCTACCGCTGCCGCCCGGCTGCCGCAGTCAGGAGGACGCGCGTGGAAGTCATGGCGGAGCGACAGCCACCAGCGAAAGAGAAACTGCCCTTACTGCCCCTGCCGACAACTGCTTACACTGCAAACTTCAGTATAACCATCATCTTATATCTAGCTGCTTGGAGGTGAGTGTTATCGCTCTTACCGGTTCACACTCCATGCCGCGTACGCTGCTTGGACGCTTCTGGTCGCATGCGGTAGCGCAGGTGCTGTGAGAGGGGTGGAGCTTGGAGGTGGGGCATGAGTGAAGCAGAGAGGGTGGGGGAGTGGCGTGAAACCTGTTTTTCTTCAAATTTTCAGTTGAAGTCTGCTCTCTTCTCAATGTTACAGACTGCAGCTTTAACTGATTTTTAAATTTAATTTCAGTTTATGGGAAAAAAGTCAGAATTCTGACTTTAATATCAGAATTCTGACTTTTTTCTCAGAATTCTGACAGATAACAAACATGTTAGCATCAAGCCTTAGCCATGTCTGTTTTAGAGACTAGCTCTCTTGTTTTAATGACCTTCTGCTCCTCTATTAATGAGGGGACCCTCGGGCACGTAAAAAGTTGCCTAATTCTGTCATTTTCCACCAATGTGTCACTGGCCACCTCACATCTTTGTCAGTGAAGCTGAGTGCTCCACATCTCTTCCTTCATGATGCCCATCTACATTAAAATCCAAAATTCTGAGATTAAAGTCAGAATTCTGACTTTTTTCCCATATTAAACTGAAATAAGATTTAAAAATCAGTTAACTTTTTTTTTTTTTTTTTTCAGTGGCCCTAATCCTCTTCCGTAGTTATATCTGGTTTCATATTATTGGAAATCCAAAATCCCCAAAATTACTTAAACTGTCTTACATTTTTTTGATATAAAGAGAAAAAATAGTGATATGTGAGCTATTGCTGAAAGCATAACATTAGATTTTACTTATTTATGATCTGTATAATGAGTTCATTGTAGAACGTAAACATTTTGCTGAAAACTGTGTTTGATATTTTCTGCAGGTTTTGGGTGAAACTCGTGTGAACTGTCCTCTGACCATTCTGGTGGAGTTTCAAAACCCGCTGAAGGAGACGCTGAGGTGCTGTTCTCTGACTGTCGTTGGCTGTGGCCTCTTCGGATCGCAACACCTAGAGAGGTAAAAATCAGGACAGCGGACCTTACTGGAGGACCAATACTTTTGTTCTAATTTAGAGTGTTTTTCATCTCAAAATCCACTTTATTTGCAGAACAACTCTATAAACTAGGCATGTTTGTATTTAAGTTTGGCTAAAAGCAATATTATTGCTGCCCTAAGTGGTTAAACTGCGGCTAAAGAAGTTAAACTTTTTAACTGGTTCAAACAGTAGATGCTGACAGAGACTTTAATGATCATAGACACACGTTTGAGTAAAGATACAAGTCGCTCTGACGTGTCCTGAGTCATCTTGACCCCCGCTGCCTCGACAGCACTAGTGCATTGAACTAGTGCGTTAACAAGCTGTGATTTTTCAACTTTAGAGTTTTCTCGATGTGAATCGAGTCCACTTGTCCACAAATCGACTTTTTGGTGAATGCCCTGCTTTATACAAAGCCGTGTCTACTCCTTTCTCTTCCTGTTAACCATTTGTTCCACAGGATGTTGAACTGGTGCATAAGTTCAGCAAAGCGGCTGCCAATTGGCTGCACAGTCGATTACAGCGACATTAGTTGCTAACAGATTTAAAGGCAGATTCTGGATTATATTTTCTGGACTTTTACAAACAAAAAAGTTTTCATATGGTTAATCAACAGTCATAGTAGGCATAGGCGGTTCTAACAAATAATTTTGATAGTTTTTATTTTTTTAAATACCAACAGGCCGTATCGAAAATGAGCTTAAATGGAACTAATGAGTCTGTTTTAAAATGTAAGGAATAGAAAGTAGAGGTAATTAAAAAAAATCTAAGGAGTAGAAGTAAAATGTTGTCAAAATTTTAAAGTATAGATAGCTGATATTTCTACTTAGGTACGGTAACAAATTATTTGTCACCTCTGGTAGCTTTGCTTCTTTTCTACTTTAATGTGTAGTGTTAACATTGCTATGAAAATAAAAAGGGTCTCTTCTTTTATCTACAGTAACTTGGGAGATGTGGAACCTAATTCATCTTTGACGGTCAAGATCCAGACGGTCCCCTACAAGGCTGGCTCGAAGACGGTGGTGGCCAACTTTGACTGCAGCGCCTTCAGAGACCTAAAGGGAAGCGTCAACGTCTACATCAAACCATGAGTCCATGACTGCTGCGCCCTTCGTTTGGAGTCTCTGATTCACACTATAGCCTGCGTTGTTAAACTTTGGGAGCTTTTGGGTAAAAAAAAAAAAAATTCTAAAAATATTCACTTATTCAATTATGATTTTATGAGGAATTTCTACAAATTAAGACACCTATTTTAACATTTATTAATCTCACATTGGAGAAATTTACCTCTGCATTTAACCCATCCGCTTGGGAAGCAGTGGGCTGCCATTGTGCAGCACCCAGGGAGCAATCAGGGGTTAGGGTCTTGCTCAGGGACCCAGAGGGGCGTCTGTGGGAGTGGAGCTGGAACCCAGAACCTCAGGATTCCAAGCTCTATGCCCGAACAACCAGGCCGCCACTCCCCGATGGCGACTATAAACTAGCCTTTATGCTGGGTTTGGGTGGCATTGCATTTTATTTTGAAACATTTTTATGTTTTATTTTAATTTCTGTTAGTTTTGGAAATAATGTAACAAATTGTGGTGGGGAATAGAAGATGAATCAATAAATAAATATCGCTTCATGCAAACATTTGTTTTTGAGTTACGTTTTGTAAATTCTACTTATAAAGTACTGGCTGCTGCTGGATTATTTGCTTTTATTGAATACTTTTCACTCGCTTTAGTTACTGTATTTCCTTTTACAAACAGTAACTTGGTTGTAATTCATAATTCCACAACGTTCTTACAAAAATAGAAGTGCTTTAAACATTTTATTGTATTAGAAACATCCATCCATTTTGTAACAGGCTTAATCCTAATTTGGGTCACAAGGGGTGCTGGTGCCCATCTCCAGCTGTCAATGGCGGGGTCCACCCTGGAGAGGTCACCCATCCATCGCAGGGCAACACAGAGACACACAGGACAACCATTCACACCTTCACACCTAAGGAGACTATAGAGAAGCCAATTAAACTACAGTAATGTTGTTGGACTGTGGGAGGAAGCTGGAGTACCAGGAGAGAACCCACACATGCTCAGGGAGAACATGCTAACTCCATGAAGAAAGACCCTGGGCCGGAAATCAAAGCCAGAACATTCTTGCTGCAAGGCAGCAGTGCTACCCACTGCTCCACTGAGCAGCCTTATTAGAATCATATGAATATAAAAAAAATACTAATTCTTTTAGCTTTACTGACAAACATGGTTAAGTATCATCTTCATAATTATAAGTTATTTATTTCACCCTAATGAAAAACATGCAAGAATAGAAAAGCTCAGTGCTGCGTTATACAGCAATACGTTAATTTCCTATAACTGCTTTTAATATAAATTAGCTATTCTTGCTGAACTGTAAATGGGATTTAAACAGCTGTAGCTTTTGAATCTTCTGAGCAGATGCACTTTTGTATAATTTCTTGCAATTAAAATTTTCTCAAGTTTTTAGAATACTTATGCAAAGACAAAAACGCCCAAAAGTGGTACACAAGTCACAAATGGTTCCACATCAATGGCACCCAGTCTAATTATTGTTCTCAGCTTTTAAAATGTTACTGAGCGTCTGATGGGCATAAAAATGCAACTATTATTATATATAACAAATGTTCATAAATTAAAAATCAGTGCCAGCCTTTTAAGCTGCACAGCGTTCAAAGTAACAATCCTCAGAAAAACAAACTTTGACGCTACTCCAGCATACAGCCACCTTGAGCAGCTCAATTATAGAAATTGTTCTAATAGCATGTATCTGAATTCTATGAAAGAATTTCCACTTTGATCTGATTCATTTAGAGTTCCTTAAGAAGTACATTTTTCATCAAATTAAAGCCAAGGATCAGCGGGCTGCCATTGTGCGGCGGCCGGGGAGCAGCGTGGAGTAAGGATCTTTGCTCAGAGAGCCAGAGTGGCAACCTCTGGATTCCAAGCTCTATGCTCTAGCCACTAGGCCGCCACTCCTCAGTGGTAAACTCACTCCCACTGGAATGAAATTGGAACGAAAAATTTAATTGCTGGGCATTAGAATCTGATAAGTTTAACATGTATTATCAAGCAAATTATCAACTTTTTAATTGGCTGCTGCTTTATATCTGCTGAAGAATGGCGTTTATTTGGCGCCATCTAGTGGCCAACAACGATTCCACCGTCCTGTAGTGACTCCTGACAGATCGGGTCCATCACTGAAGAGTTTACCTTCGCTCTGCCAACAATTACTAAGAAAAAGAGCAAACTTAACCCTGTAATGCCAAATGTATCATATTTGATACATACGGTTTCTGAAATGTTTTGCGTCTGACACCTTTCGCATAATTTAATAGTAAAAACTTTGGTCAGTAGAAGACTACACAAAAAATAATCTTGACTTATCGCATAGTAATAATTTATTAATATCAAAAATGTATTTCTGTTTTTTCTTTTTACATATTTTTTGTTAAAAGGCCAAATAAGGAATTCAAACCAAAAAAAAAAAAGTAATTTTCTGTATGTTTTATTCTTGGATCGGGCTTTAAAGGGTTAATTGGCTGTTGCTTTTTCCTCTGCTGAAGAATGGCGTTTATTTGGCGCCATCTAGTGGCCAACAACGGCTCCACCGTCCTGTCGGGACTCCTGACAGATCAGGTCCATCACTGAAGAGTTTACCTTCGCTCTGCCAACAATTACTAAGAAAAAGAGCAAACTTAAGCACTAGAAACATTTGCTTATTATCTAAAAACAGAAAGTTAAACTATTTTTATAGAGAAGTCAGTTTATGATCATTCAAGCAAACATATTGGCTTATGTGGCCAGTGGCACGGGAAGGGGGGTGCTGCGGGGGCTGCAGCCTCCCTCGTCATAGCATCAGCCCCCCATGGTGGGGGGCTGTGGAGTAACATAATATTGTACTTAAAAACATGAAATTAATTATGTATTTATTTTTTAAAAGACTGTGTTTGATATGGGATTAAAATGATGGGCTGTGTATAAGATATAAACTAATGATTCATTATTTTAATATTTCATAAAAAACTAGGCTACTCCCCCGGAAGCTTCCGCCACCTCACATTCGTTTAGGCATGGCTAGCAATAGGCAGCAGAAACATATTTCTGACTATTTCGAGGTAAGAAATGTTTTAATTCCCCTATATTGCCGCATTTAGCGTTATTTATGTGCCTATTCATCTTAGTCCTGTGGCTGAAGAAGTCTACGCTAGAATAAGGCTGCATATCACTAAATTTTATGTCTGTATTAAGCTATTTAGTGATAAAATATGAAATTAGTTAATTTTTTTTTATTTTTTTGTGTGTGTGTTTTTTGTTTCAGATATGAAATTATTCCCCATATCCATAGTCGAATTGACTTTCAAGACGTTCAATGCTCAGTTTAGGCAATATTTAGGCCATGTTTCATTCAAGTATTCCTGATCCTGTTGATTGGGAGCTGTTGTTTGTTTTGAATGATTAAAAGAGAAGAAATCAAGTTTAAAATGTTCATGCTTTGTTCCGATGCATTTTAAATGGCAGTTTTTGGCGACAAATGTAGGCCTACAATATTATGTTAAAAACGTCAGCCACAGCCCTCAACATAATGACGTCATGTGTTTTCCAAACCAGCCATCAGCCCCCCTCGCTTGAAACAGCTTCCAGCGCGCCTGTATGTGGCATTATTTGGTAAATACTAAAAAGTTTGAATTTGTGAAACATTGGGCACAGCTTGTCTTTTATGTAGGAAGATCTACTTCTCCTAAATCTAGTTTATTAAAAACAATTGGTTTTATCATCTTTTCAACATAAATAACAAACCAGTAGGTTCAGAAGTAAAAGCTTTATTTCTTAGGTTGAACGTTAACAACTGCATACAGATGGTTACATTCTCAAAAAAATAAGAAAATCCGTATTTCGTATTTTTCAATAGAACTAGTGATTCTAGTTAACAGGCATCAAAAGTAAACAAAAAAAAACCCATTAAACTGGTTTGATAAACTCAGCAGCATCTCCTATGGATGGGAAGAACCTCAGCCCAGCATATAGAGGCTGAGTGAATGTGGTCTGGACTCTATGGAGGAGAGTCATGGTTTCAGAGACGCTGTAGAAAGACAGAGTACCTGCTCCGTGATCCAGAAACACTCCTATTCTGGAGGAAACTGGACCTGGAACCGCAATTTCTTTCCTATCGTGATAAAATTTGTATCCGTTTACGGTGCAGCTGAGCATCCAGGACTGCGGGTTGTACCCAAATACGCATTCGGCTTCTGCACCGGCTCTTCTGATGTTTTTGTACGCCGCTGCAACAGAAACCCCACTGCCGCTCCACTCCACCTCCCAGTAATGGCGATCAATCAGATCCTCTTTGCTCAGGAGCTGAGCGAAATAGGTAAACCTGTCAGGATGGCTGGGATATCTCTGCTCCTGTTTCAGATATTTAGCTTCAGTGTAAGGGGAGAGGAGAAGCACTTTGTTGTTCGCTGTGTTTGGATCCCCTGTAACTTGGGTGGAAAACTTTAATAAGGAGGCTCGGAAAACGAAAGCGTTCACTTCAGTGGCTTCCGCTGAGAGGTTTGCCTCTGTGTCTGTCAGGAAGAACCGCATGTTGTATCTGAGGTCTGACACAATTGCTGTCACTTCCTTAATGTAATTACGAGGACGATAATTGATGCTGGATGAGTGTGTAGACTCACTGAGTGCTGACAGTGAGGGGTAGTTCTGGAGAAACTGGGTGTGATCCTCTGTTTTTATGAGCTTCTCCAGCTCAGCTTCTTTCCTCTTCAGCTCAGTGATCTCCTGCTCCAGCTTCTTCTGAAACTTTTTAACTCGACTCACTTCAGTGTCCTGCAGGAATCTGATGCGCTGCTTCATTACAGAGCTTCTTTTCTGGATGAAACGAACCACATCCATGAAGATCTTCTCACTGTCTTCTACTTCTTTATCAGCAGAGGCATCGATGGCCTCCACCTCCTGTTGAAGCATCTTCATATCTTTCTCCTGGTCCTGGATTCTCCGCTGGATTTGTTGTCGTCTCTCCTGGAGCTCCTTCTGCTTCTCAGTCCTTTCTGCTGCAGCTGGGACTGTTTCATGATCTTTATGTTCATCCATTAAGCAGTGATAACAGATACACTGCTGATCGCTACGGCAGTAGATCTTCATCACCTCATCATGACTGGAGCAGATGTTCTCCTGGAGATGTTTGGATGGGTCCACCAGCCTGTGCTTCTGTAATGGTGCAGCATCATAGTGAGGCTGGAGGTGATTCTCACAATAGGAAGCAAAACAGACCAGGCAGGACTTGACAGCTTTCCTCTTCCTCCCAGTGCAGACATCACAGGCCACATCTTCAGGTCCAGCATAGCAGTGATCAGCTGCTGCAGCCTGGAGTCCAATCATATTCAGATCCTCCAGTAAATCAGCTAACATGAAGTTTTTCTCCAGAACAGGCCTTCGTTTGAACTGTTTCCTGCACTGAGGGCAGCTGTAGGTCTTCTTCTGACCATCAGTATCCCAGTGGTCTTCAATACAGTTCATGCAGTAGCTGTGTCCACAGGGAATGGTCACCGGGTTCTTCAGTGGCTCCAGACAGATGGA